TTTTTATGAAACATTTTTTGACTCTGTCTAATTTTTTATGATTCAAAGAATTTACAAAAAATATTACGGCCCTACGACGAGCAGTTTAATTTTAAAAATTCATCAAAGTTTGAAAAAATATTATTGAAAGAAAATTCAATTGGAAATCGCAAAGTTTAGATTTAATTGAAAGCGAAAGTTGAAAGTGTTATCTAACTATCTGAATCTTAATTTGGTTTATTATGTTAATTATTACACATTTTGGGAAGTTCATCCAACTTGGCTTAAGGCAAAATGCCACTTTCAACTAATTTTTTAATGTATTGCTCATTTTGATCAATGATCTTTTCTTATCTTTGAAGCACATCATAATCCCACATTCATAAAACTATTAATAAGAAACTGAATCCGGTACAATTTGACACCATCATCGTTATCGAAATTTATACCATTCACGGAGTTTTCTAGAGATCGAAGCAGAAAGTAGTCTGATGTTGTGTAAGATCAGGACTATATGGTAGATGTGGAAAAACATTTTAACTAAGCTCCAATATTTTTGTCGAGTGGCGATATCTTGTCATGATGTAATATAAAGTCTGTTCGATATGTCCATTTGGGCTGCTTTCGTTCAACTGCATTGTTTAATTTCGTTGGTAGTCCAATGTAGATATCAGAATTGATCATTCGATTAGATAGAAGCTAAGAGTTCAAAGTAGTTAATTTCTTTGTGATCCTAAAAACCCGATAACAATGTCTTCATCAGTTGGCTATTCAGGTAGTTCTATCTCGTTTACCTGATCCGAAACGATTATTGTTTTGATGGATTGTCAACAAATGCACTACCAGAGCATTTTCATCTTTAAGTGAAAAATCACAGAACGTGATTTGGCCAAGCAATTTTGACACAACTGGTTTTTATGGCTTCGTCACCATAAACTCCACACTTTTTGTGAGCTGCGATGTCTTGCGATTTTTTTCTCTTTGCAGAAATAGAAAAGCAGAATATGACGAATATGTTTGTTTCGATTCTCTATTTTTCAGCGAACGCCTAATAATAACTACTCAACAGATCAAAAGGTGAATTGCCAACATCATTGAGACTATCTAAGATATACAAGCCGACAGATATATAGGTAAACAGATAGACACATCGAACGATATACAGGTTGACAGATAGACAAATAAACAGCTAGATCTAGGTATAGTTATAGCCAGATGGAAAGGTAGACAGGTAGACATATGCAAAGAATGACAGGTAGACAGATTGCATGATAGAGAGGTGGAAAGATAGGCATGCAGATATGTAGATAACTAGGCAGACTGGCGTACAAGGTAACAGGTATATATGTAAACAGGTGGACAGGTAGACAGGTAGAAAAGTAGGTGGGTAGAGACTTAGACAGGCTTAGGATTTTTGCAACAGTAGAATGATTAAATTAAAACAAATTTTATTTTTTTCTTTCTAAATCGAAAATAACGAAAATACATTGAATGATTTCTTTAGTTTTAATTTTTTTGTTCGCTTTACGCTGTACAACGCCTCTATATTAAAATTTTGGAAGGAAATAATACTACATTACATGAGTGTTTTGTTGTTACAGCTATAAAAGTGGCAGATATTAAGCCGATAGTAAAAGAAGAAATATTTCCCGCAAGTTCAGATAACACTTGCAATTGTTCAAGCAACGAAATTGAGAACAAGCCTAAAATAATCGGGCAGGCTGAAGCTGATAATAGCATCTCATTTGAAGACCAATTGCAGAATCAAGTCTATATAAAATATGAGAAGTAATACTTTGTATATATCTATCTGCTTGATTAACCATATTCATAGGAAATTTTGAAAAAATATGCTATAGTTCAATACTCAATAGTAATTACTATTTGTGCTGCATTGACATTTTGTTATTATAACTTGAATGGTAACTCGAGATTAAACTTGTGCTAAATTATCTTGTTTTAAGGTTCAATATATAATAGTTGATAGTCTTTGTTCATTGAAATATCATATCATTTCAATTTTACCATATTTTAGCATAATTTGAATAATAATTATTATAAAATGGAAATTTCTAAATTTTAATTATTAATCTTATTCAGGCCAAATCCGGATCGATATAAACGAATGATTTTGGATTCGGATGTTCAATTGGCTAAAGAAAGATATTCTGAAGAATCGCAGAGAAACTATATGATAGAATCAAATGCAACATCGAGTGCAAATCCAAATACAAGTAAGAAAATAGCCATTACAATTTAAAATAATCATTTTATTATTTACTTACATGAATGTAATATATAAAAATGTTTGACATAGGTATTCATCCACAAATCAAAACGAACGGCACTTCGTTTGTGATAAAAAATTTGAAGCACTATGCTCTGTATAGCATAAGTCTGCGCGCATGCCGGGAAAGAGTAGCTGCAGATAAGGATAATAAACTTTGCAGTGAAAGCAAAATGAGAAATGAAAGAACTCTCAAGCTCGGTATTTCTAAAACTTATATGGATAACTAACAAAACTCTCACATTTAGTGTATTATTTTATTTATTTACCTAATATATAATTATAATAGGACAAACTTTATAAAATTAATCAAGATGCAATAAATAAATTTAGGAAAAAGGTTTAAGTTCAAAAAAGTCTCATTGAAAACGTCTAATGTAAGTGTAAATTTTAAAAGGAAAGTTCAATGATACTCTAATACCTAGAAATGATTGAGTTGATTAGTGAAAATTGTTGAATTTTACAAATTCTGCCATAAAAGTTTAATTGCTATTTACAAAGAATTGCTTATCAATAACAAATATATGTGATTCAAACAAATTCAATTTAGAGCACATGTAAATCGATTTTAGCTGTTAATCATACTTTTTATAGTTGCATATACTTTTTTTTTAATATGAGAATTTATGAGTAATCTCTTTGAGTGATATTTGCTTATAAGGAAAATTCGAACCATTTATTCTTAATTGTAAATTTTTGTTATTTATGCGCAATTAAATTATATTATTTATATTTTCATTTACATTAAGAGAAAAATTTTCACTTCACAATCACACTTTTTTTCAGATCAAATATGATATATCTGAACTGGTGTTTTACAATATTTGTGTTCAAATGTTTAAAATTTAATAAGAGTATCTTATTAACAGTTACATTATTTAATATGCTTCAAAAAAAGCAAATCTTGAACATGCATGTTAATAACTTGCTTCTCAATTTTTTTTTCAGAGGGTTCTGATGATATAACTGTATTTCGCGCACAAGTTATTTCTACAAATCAAAGTCTGGGCGAAGTAGTAGCTTCATGGGAAGAACCCAAAGAGCCTAATGGTCTAATATATATGTACCAAATAGAGTATAACCGAGTGGATTTAATTGATGTAAGACATAATGTATTTATTGTCGCAATAATTTAAAAATGAAATTGATTCTTATGTATGTTTTTGTCCAAATATTTTTTTTTATAAAAACAATGCAGAGCATACTGATTTTCATGTTATGAAACCACCTTAGCATAAAATTAAAGTATTTTATAATTTTGCAAGCAATGCAAATATTATTATATAAAGTGCCTAATTTTTTTTACTTATATTTTGAGTGAAAATTTTGATGAGCATGCATAATGACTAACTGAGCATAATAGTACCATGTTTTTGTTTTGCTTACAAATTTGGCTATTGTAACTTTGAAAATTGTACTTTAATGACAGCATTTTACTAATATCTTTTACAAATGGTTATTCAAAATTATTTTTACAATTATTTTTCTGCAAATATACCTGTTATTCATTTGACTTGACTTACTTGTTAATGTTTTCTTTATATAATATATTCATACCTAATCATTTATGCCATTCATTTATATAAATATATCTAAGCACTTTTTAATCTTTTAAGGCAAAACCTGTTCCAATATGCGTGACACAGCAAGATTTTATAGACAGGAATCGTATGTATGCAATTAAGAATTTAACTCCAGGAAATTATAGCATTCGTGTAATGGCCGTCTCAAAAGCTGGAAATGGAAAATATTCCGAAATGAAATACTTTTTGATAATGGTAACAGTCTTTATATTTTTTTTATTAACATTATTAAAATGAAAGTAAATAAAAGACGTATATAAAAATTTGTGAATATATTACATATTAATATTCAAAATTAACGAGATTTTTTTGTTGTTTTAAATAGAGTAATTAAATAAAGCAGAGTTATGAAACATGAATGGTTCACAAAAATTACAGATTATTTTAGCAAGAGTAACTTACAATTACAATTTACTTCGAGCGTAAAATATTCAATTACTTTATTTAAAACAAAAATTACACTGTTCAAGACAAGTTAATGTATAAATGGTAGTGCTGAATTATGTGCTCTGTGTACATCTACTGATGTAAGACACCATAAATGTAGTCACTGATGATGATGAAAATTAATATCAAAGTGTTTGGAAAAATTAAGAACTAATTTTCAGAAGTTTCTTTCATTTATTGTATTGCCTGAGGATAACTATATATATATATATATATATATATATATATATATATATATATATATATATATATATATATATATATATACGTAGAGACCATAAATAGTAATGCAAAATCACACTGTCATCAAATTAATATAAAATTTGTTAAAATTATTTTGAAGTTAAAATGAACATTATTCGACATAATGAAACATGTTTTTTTTGTAGGAACCATCTACTGGCCTAACTTCTGGCGAAATTGTTGGATATACTTTTCTTGCACTACTTCTTTCATTTATATTATCCATTTTGGCATATTTTGTGCACAGAAAGTATTTTTCTCCGCCTAGCATTAAGTTAATCACTTCTGTTAATCCTGAATATGTCAGTATGCAGTACCAACCTGATGAATGGGAAGTTCCCCGAGAGAAAATAAAATTGATAAGGGAATGGGTCAAGGCTCTTTTGGAATGGTATATTAATATACTATACTATAATATATATAATAATAATAATAATATCAATAATAAATAGTAGTCTGCAGGTCCTTGGTATGAGAACACAAATCAATGATTTCCTTCCTCTCCCTTATTTGTAATTATTATTACCATTTTATTACTATTAAATAATGACCATGCATTACTTTTTATTCATTTTTATGCATTTTTCTTTCCAAACTTCTATTTGCATGCTTCCTGGTCTTCTATATTTTCTATAACAATTTTATATATATATATATATATATATATATATATATTTATTTATATATATATTTTGTATGATTCTGAATTTGATGTTGACATATGTATTAACAAAGTCTAATAATCGGGCATAACATCAATAAAAAACATGAATTTGTTTCAAAAATTTATTTTAATCCATACGTTTCGGCTATAATCCTTACGTTTCGGCCTTCATTCAGTGGAAACTAAAAATAAAATTAAAAACTAAAACAATTGAATTGGAGTGAAAAGAAAAAATAAAATAGTAAATAGTACTTACAATTAGTTGATCTTAGTGTTAAATTGGAAAATTTTAATAATCCATGGTATCAGGATATGGTAATGCACTACACTATGTGTTATAAACATTAACTTGAAATTACACATAATTTTCACAAAATACTAATTTTAAAAAATCACAAATAATAGTGTGTTATTCGTAGACTGGTTGAAGATGTAATGGAGAAATACATTTTAAAAAAATTGCGAATCCTTTCAATGTTTTTTATTGATGTTATGCCCGATTATTAGACTTTGTTAATATATAAATATATATATATATATATATATATATATATGTGGAGGTAGTAGTCCATATGTTATACCAAAATGATCCAATATGTAGTCATAATAAATTCCAGGATATATTAGTTTTATATTTGGTTTATTTACGTAAGATTAATATTGACGACACTATGGTTATCATATTGATCGTTTATAAAATGTGATTGGTATTTTTGTATTTACAATTGAAAAGAAAAGGTTTCAAGAATTATAATTTTGGCAAATTAGACTAGGGAGACAAACGCGAGTTCAGATCTGACACTTGAATTATTTTGTTTCCTCCGTGCTGTCACTATATGAGCCTATCTGTCCAGTAGAAATGCGATGCGTGTTGACAGGCCGCTACATATATATATATATATATATATAATATATTAACAAGTCTAATAATCGGGCATAACATCAATAAAAACTTTTACTACTACTAAACTAACTACTAAACTAAACTAACGTTTTTTATTGATGTTATGCCCGATTATTAGACTTTGTTAATACATATGTCAACATCAAATTCAGAATCATACAAAATATATATATATATATATATATATATATATATATATATATATATATAGCTAGCTGGCTCGGCAAACGTTGTTCAGCACTAAAGAAAAATTCCAAATAATCTTTTGTATAAAAAATAACTAACTGGTTATGAATGTAGAAGTATGTATAAATTAAATGGATGGTTTACCTATTGCAGTGCAATTGCCATATGCTTGCTTGCATAATCTAGATCTGATATTCAAATTGAATTGGCACATTTTGATATTCAAGTTTTTTAAATATTACTGTAGGTGCCCGATCACTTGTTGCTGTGTTCTGCATATAAATAAAAATCATATCATTATGAACATTATTATCTCAATGTTTCATTCACATAGCGCAATCAGGATTAAATCAATATTACGTTGACTTTATCTTATTTTATTTATGTCTGACGTATATATTTTATATAGGTGTACGAGGGTATAGCTTGCGATTTAGTACAAGGCAACAGTGAAATCAAATGTGCGATTAAAACTGTGAATGAGCACGCCACGGATCGCGAGCGCATTGAGTTTTTGAACGAGGCATCTGTCATGAAAGCGTTTGATACTGCCCATGTGGTACGCCTGCTTGGAGTTGTTTCCCGTGGTCAGCCTACTTTAGTGGTTATGGAATTGATGGCCAATGGTGATCTCAAAAGCTATCTTCGCTCTCATCGTCCAGATAGTGATGTGTATGATCCGGAGATTTGCGTACAACCACCAACACTTAAGAGAATTTTACAGGTGATTTATAAACATTTACCAATTCAAGGCATGATGATGTAAAATATTGGATACTGAATAATAATCAGTATCCAGTGATATAATCAAATATAATCAGTGATTATATTTAGTATAAATATATTATAACATCTTGTGTCTTTAACTGCTTTTATATGATTTTTATTGCTATTCCCTCGAGAAAAAACGTCGAGAAAATATAAAATACCCATGGTTATTTTATTCGAAACATTCTCGTTCAGTATGTTTTTTGATTGTACGGTACTGTAAATTCTATATAAAATCAGATTTTTAATAATAAAAAAATGTAAAAATCTTTTATTTATTATGGAAGCCTAAGTTGAGTCAATGGAAAACATTTAAAATTTATGGCCAAAATGTAAAAACTGTATTTGAAAAGGTAAAATAGTTCGAAGTGCTTAACTAAGGTCTAAGAATTTTCATTATTTGTTCAGAGACGAAAAATTTGGTTGCAAAAAGAGAAATAATAAAATATCTGTGAATAACTATAATTTGACGTTCATATGTCCATTTACTATTTTAACATCTAATTAACTAACTATCATTTAACTCTAATTAATTTTTATGATAATTTTTTTCTCGATGCAAGAATTGTTTACTACCTCTAACTAAATAATACCCATTTTTGCATAAATAAACGGATTTTAAAAGAAAATGCAAATATATGTTTTATGAAATGACTTATTTTGATTTTGCCGTTTGAAATTTTGAAACAATGTTTGAAAAACGTTCACGAGATTAATGGACGGTTATTTATATATTTGATTGTTCGTTTATAGTGATAGTGATGATTAATAAAATAGTAATTTATAAAATAGGCGAATGTTTCAAGTTTTATATTTTGTAAAAATGTTTCACTATTATTGATGATCGCGAAATTAGAAATGATAATTATAGAACATAGTAAAATCAAAGCCAGGGAAAGATTTTCACGAGGGCATTCATTAAAGAGTTGTAATTCATTAATGAATCTGAAATGTAGAGGAAAAGTGCATGTGTTGATTGAGTTTTCTATACTATTTTTATTGAGTTGTATAAAATATTTCTATATGTTATATTTATCTGTTCGTATTACAGATGGCTATTGAAATAGCTGATGGAATGGCATATCTTTCAGCAAAAAAATTTGTGCATCGAGATTTAGCAGCTAGGAATTGCATGGTTTCAGAAAACCTAACTGTAAAGATTGGAGATTTTGGTATGACGCGAGATATTTATGAAACAGATTATTATAGGAAGGGTACCAAAGGTCTTCTGCCTGTGCGCTGGATGGCACCTGAATCATTAAAAGATGGTGTAAGTTGTTTTATATTTTTATGAATTTTTTTTTCGAAGCAAAAATGTTTCACTTTTCTGCTATTTATAAAGATACGGCTAGACCGATCGTCTGATAAACAATAGTCCTCATCGAGATACATCAAATGGCTTTTAAATTTTTGAAATCGGTCGAGTCGCTTTTGAGAAAATATCGATTTACGACAAACAGTCTGTTCACACATAAACACATACACATACACATACTTTTCTCAAATTTGATTTCGTTCGATTCAGAATGGCTTGAAACGTCAAGAAAACATAAAATTAGCGAATCGGATTTTTTTATGAAAACATAAACTTCTCCTTCGGGAAGCTTATAAATCTGTCACCCAATGAGCAGTCTACAAAACTTCTCCAGTTGTGTAAAAAACGTTACCATTAAATTAAATGAATGATTAAATAATATAAAACTACGTACATGATATATGTAGTCGTGTCAGTATTTTCTTATAGCAGATGCTTAATATTTCGTAAAATAATGTATTAAGTTTCTTAAAAGAATGTTTTGATGTTTTAAACGAAATTGAACATAGCAATAAATTCATGCACAGAACTGACTTACAAAAATTTGCCGAATTATATAAAGTAATTGAAATTAGTTATAATGGATGCTTTTAAAATGTACAAGCATGGGTCTACGCATTATAATTACACATTATTTAAATGTGTTTGAAATTGTGAATTCAATTGAAAATCGCAATGTTCAGGTTTAAGTGAAAACGAAAACATGATTTTCGAAATAAATAGTTGAAAATTTTATCTGAATACCTAGATCCGAATTTCTGTTGATTAAGTCAATTATTACTTCTATCGGGAAGTTTTTGCAACTTACCTTAAGACAGAATGCCAATTTCATAGTTAGTATTTCTTTTTAATATACGCGTTAGTATTTCTTTTTAATTAAGCCTATGGTGAGTCTGCTATGAAAATAACAAGTGTTTACGAGTGGTATAAGCGTTTCCAAGATGGCCGCGAAGACGTTGAAGATGACGAACGCTCCGGTCGACCCAGCACGTCAACAAACGATGAAAATGTGAAAGAAGTGGAAAAAATGGTTATGAATGATCGCCGAATCACAATTAGAGAAGTTGCTGATGAAGTTGGCATATCAATTGGCTCATGTCATAACATTTTTTCAAATGTTTTGGGCATGAAACGAGTGGCAGCAAAATTCATTCCAAAACTGCTAAATTTTGACCAAAAAAGCAATCGCATGAACATCGCTCAAGAGCTGTTAAATGACGTCAACAACGATCCAAGTTTGCTTGAAAGGGTCATAACTGGTGATGAAACATGGGTGTACGGTTATGATGTCGAAAACAAAGCCCAATCGTCCCAATGGAAGAGCCCAGGTGAGCCAAGACCGAAAAAAGCACGTCAAGTTCGATCGAATGTCAAGGTTTTGCTTACTGTTTTCTTTGATTATAACGGCATAGTGCATCAAGAGTTCTTACCACAAGGTCGTACGGTTAATAAGGAGTATTACCTTGAAGTGATGCGACGTTTGCGTGAAGCAATCCGAAAAAAACGCTCCGATTTATGGAAAAACAATTCATGGCTGTTGCACCACGATAACGCACCTGCTCACTCGTCGTTGCTTGTTCGTAATTTTTTGGCCAAAAACAATACCGTAGTCATGCCCCAACCTCCATATTCACCAGATATGGCTCCGTGTGACTTTTTCCTATTCCCAAAGTTGAAGAGACCCATGAAAGGACGGCGGTTTTCCTCGATTGAAGAAATAAAGGCCGAATCGCTGAGAGTGCTCAAGGACATATCAAAAAGTGAATATCAAGGGTGCTTCGAAAATTGGAAAAAACGCTGGCATAAGTGTATTATATCTGGGGGGGACTACTTTGAAGGGGACCACATTAATGTAGACGAATAAATAAATATTTTTTTGAAAAAACGAAAATTCCGGGTACTTTTTGAACAGACCTCGTATATGTATATTAAAAATATGTTTCTTTTTAATATATATATATTACGTAGAATACTACGTAGAATGTACAAAACTAACTTGAATAAAATTATTTTTATATGAAAAATATAGCTAAAAACTCAGAAAATGAGATTTTTTTCATGTGTCTGGAAACTTTTGGCCTGTACTGTACATATTAGTTTTTTTCTTAACAATTACTATTTTAATGTACACCTAAGTCTGTTTTTACACGGTCTTTTTGTACACGGTTTTGATATAACACGGTTTGAAAATTGAATATTTTTAATTTTTTTACACGATTATATTTTATTTAGCACGATTTGAAATTTTATGTACTTAAATTTTGTTTGTCAAATTTAATTTTTGCGAAGTATGTTCATATCACAAAAAAGTATTTATGAAAGAAAAAAGTCTGAAACCATCGATAGTATCGATAGTTTGCGAACACTAGCTTAAAGATTTAAGTGAATTCCCTTTTAGCGCGTACAAACAATTTTTACTGGTCAAAGCAAATGTGAATAGCGCTAATTTAGGGAAATTCCCTTTATGTGCATACAATAAAATTTACTGGTCAGAGCAATTGAAACGTGTTGATATTTTGTGAACTGTCAATGCAATAAGACGTGTTTGGTAAAGAAATTTTTTGCAGGCAAATTTGATTTACCATTAAATTTAATTTTAACGCATTAAGATACAAGGTAAGCCAAAAAATATTTTGTATTTATTCAGTTATTTATGTTTTTTAATTTTGTTAAATATTTTATGTATCCCTAAAAGGAAATGTCAGATATAAAACTAAAACGGAAGGCAATTTCTTTGGAAACCAAGATTAAAATTTTAGATCGCCTTCGAAATGGAGAAGGCTCAACTGCTCTTGGTAAAACGTTCGGTTTAAATGAAGCCACAATAAGAACTATAAAGAAAAATTAAATTGCAATTCACCATCCAAAACCAAAAATCACCCATTTTTGTATAAGATCAATGTCTTTTTTTACATGTTTTTTTTTTACACGGCTTCTTCTGGAACCAATCTACCGTGTAAAAACAGACTTATAGGTGTACTGTATTTTACTGTTATATTTCTTTTTAATATATATGTTATATATATATATAATATATATATATATACATATATATATATATACATATATATATATATATATATATATATATATAATAGGTTGTCAAATATCTCCCTTCCGCCTTTTTGTATTATAAACCAAGAGCAAAAAAGCGGAAGGGAGACATTTGACAACCTAATATTAGTTTTTTTCTTAACAATTACTATATTTTACTGTAATATACTATAGCATTTTAAAAATTTAGGTTTTCACAAGCAGTTCCGATGTTTGGAGCTATGGTGTTGTGTTGTGGGAAATGGCTACATTAGCTTCTCAACCATATCAGGTAGGATTTTGTGTGATTTTTTTTGTATTTTGTTTTTGTCTCTAAAGATTTATTCATTAATTTATGGAATAATGTACTTGTGCATTAATTGACACTATTGAAACATAATTTAAATATTTTAAATACAAGAAAAAAATATTTACAATTATTTATTTCACGTTTTGACACTTCATGTTTTTGTCATCATTCAGAAAATCATTCGCTGATTATGATAGATAATTAATTAATCGAAAAAAATTGCAAAATTTTTATTTTGTAATTGTTTATATGTTTCGGTGCTTACTGTGAAATTTTAATTAAGAAAAATCTATATTTTGTATTTTGTTTTTCTTGGTCTGGTAAGTTAAATGATGTAACATAGTGTTGAAACTCTTAAATAAAGAAGTTCAAATATTATTCAATTGTTTTAATTCGTAGAATTGGCTATCAAATATGTTTCATCGTCGAAACAACAGAAAATATATAGATTAATTAAAAAAAAAACTTTTACTTGTGTAAATAGTGTGCAAAAAAAGTTTTTACAAAAAGGGTTCTATTTGTTCATATTTCTAAATTTATATATATATATATATATATATATATATATCTTGAGGATTTTTTGTTCGACGTTGAAACATATTGAAATGAATAAAACAGCCAATGCGTCGAATGTAAAGAATTTATTTTAATTTTTTATACGTTTCGAGACTAGATGTGCCTCATCATTCAGCTAAAAGAAATTTATATTTTAAAAAAAAGTTATATATATATATATATATATATATATATATATATATATAAACTAATTATGCACTAGATACTATTATTAAAGATAATTCTTGATTTAAGGGATTGTCAAATGATCAAGTTTTACGTTACGTGATTGATGGCGGTGTTATGGAAAGACCCGAAAATTGTCCAGACCAGTTATATGAGCTGATGCGCCTTACTTGGCAGCACAAACCATCAGCAAGACCATCTTTCTTTGAACTTGAGACTTTGTTGCATGCAGATGCCAATCCTGAGTTTAAGAAGATTTCATTTTACCATTCTCCTCAAGGTCAAGAAGCGCTGATAAATATGCAAAATACAAGTAAGAACTTTATACGTTATAGGTGTACTATATAATAACTATTGAATATTGTGGTAGATATGTATCATAAAATTCAGATAGAGTTGAATATTTTCATTAATCCATTGTATTACAAAATATATTTTATTTCCAACATTTCAGTTGATTGTTATTATGAGTTATTTTACCCAGATTGGAATTGTATGTTTCATGTCGATATTTGCTGCTTCACAATCATACAATATAAGGGTGGAATGTTTTCTATTTATTTTTTCCATTGAAATAAAATCATTTTAGTACAATCGAATTAAAATATCATTTAATTACAACTATTATATAGCTTATGATGCACTGCTTATCTACAATTTATTATTCACAATGGCATAATGCTCTGATTATCTTGTATACCATTTTAATGTACGCCGTGCTGCCAAGCTATTCTATCAGCAATACAGTGTCCTTTATGCATCAGAACAGAATTCAAAGTTTTGTTTTCAAAGCTTCTCAAGTTAAATGGTATTCACGTTATTATGTTTAAGAAATATCTTTTGCGAAAATTTGCAATCGAAAATCGGAGCGTTTTGAACAATTGTTAAATCTGACTTGTATAGCTAAAACATTCTAGTTTTCTATCTTAGTTTTTGTATGTTTAATGTTTACATATTTGCCTTATGACATTATTTTCTAAATATTTTTATGTTGCAAATTCATTAATATTACTATTTATAAAATTAGTTTTAGTCAATGACGATCCATCCACGCCTTTGCATCACACCGAAGATGATGAATTTCAGTCCGAGTTTGATGTAAAGAAAACAGGCCAACAAATGCCAAAACCTGATCTAATGGAGAGACTTCTCTCGAGACATGAAATGGATACAACATTCAGCTTAGATCAAAAGGTAGGTTCATATCAGGACAGTATGAGTTACATAGGTTCTACACCAGGCACATCATATGGACATCGGGATAGGGAATTCTCTGAAGATGCTGGTAGTTTATTTGGGTCTCGAAGTCCTGCTTTCTATTCCATAACGAACAAAAGTAATGCAGTGTCTCCTGAGCGGCGGCGTAAAGATTCTGAGGAAGAAGAAACGCAATTCTCGACAACGGCCCCCATGTTGCTTTCAAATGCTAATGGATATATCATGGGAGCAATAACTTCTAAAAATGGTACTGCCAATATCAAAACTGCAGATCGTTAATTCTATTTTATTTAATTAAAAAATCTTTCATTTAAAAATAAATGAATTCAATAAGCATCAAAGTTTACATCACATATTTATATCGTTTTAGATTTCAACCTTAAACCATATACATATTTGACTTTAAAGCATACTACCTGCTCTGGGAGCTCGTTGTTTTAAAAATTTATGCATTCGGTATACGCGCATATAATAATATTTATATATTTATGTTGTATGTGTTATAATGTATCTGTTTGTGTATATATATATATATATATATATATGCATGTATATGCATATATGTATATATATGCATATATGTATATATATATATATATATGCATATATGTATATATATATGCATATATGTATATATATGCATATATGTATATATATATATATATGCATATATATATATATATGTGTGTGTGTGTGTGTACATATTTATTCATTTATCATAGATGATTTTGTTTAGGCATAATGCCAATTAGAAAACTACATCATTTATTGGGTCTGTACGTTTCGGTTTATATCAAACCCATCATTGAGTGGAAAAAACAATAAAAGGTAATAAACACAGAATAACAAATTTTGATATGATATTTATAATAAGATCTTATAAAACTAGTATAACTTACAGTTAATACTTACATGTGATAATAGTATACATACTGAAACATTCTTGCAAAACTGATACTAAACTCAAAACACAGTTCAAACAATTAATAATTCCAATATTGATTAATGAGCGATTCAAGAGAAATAAAATAAAAATTAGTATAGCATAATTATTAGTATGAAGATTTTTTAACAAATGTTTTTTGAAAGTGATGATTGAAATATTTTAGCCATATTTGAAAAATGCATTAATTTCACTGCTCAGGGAATTTCTGTAATTTTGTTTGTTTATTGTCGTTTTGTTTTGTGTTAGAATCTCTTCAGTAAAGTATCTTTTAAGTATTTGCATCGAAATATAATATTGTGGGGTTATAAAATCTTTCGTCATATTGTAGGTCATCAATTCGTTTGACGAGCATTGCTTGCTCTTCAACTATCATGCCATTCTTATATGTAGTTTAACTATTAGTTCAACATTTGAATTAATAATTGCTTAACTGTGTTATTAAATTAGTGATTGCATTATATGTACATGATAATAATAGTTTTATAAGCATTAATAATAACCTTATTATAAATATCAAATTAAAGTTTGTAATTCTCTGATTGTTACCTTTTAGTTTTTTTCGCACAATGAAGGTGTTGATATAGACCGAAACGTACGGAATGAATAAATTTATAATTTTAATTATCAACTTTTCTTGTATCTAGTTGAATTGCTGTAGCTAGAATGAATAAATTTATAATTTTAACTATCAACTTTTCTTGTACCTAATTTTTTAATTTCATGCTTGAATGAAATCATCTATATATATATATATATATATATATATATATATATATATATTCAATAATTCAATTTCATAATTAAAAGTTAAAGTAACAATTCTTATCTCAAAATACAATTAAATAATTCCGAAGAAGAGAATAATGGTCTTATTATGATCCGGTGAAGAAGTTACAAATAGAAGAATCATTTTAAAGTGACTTATAAATCATTCAAATAAAACGGCAAATCATCATTTATTAATAAATACTAAATAGCATAATTTTGGTCATTTTTATGATTGCTGGTCACTACACTAATAATTTTTAATTTATGTATAAAACAAATAAATATACTGACACTCCATCATATGGTCATACAGAACAAATATCACTATCAATAAATATGAATGAAACATGACAGGTGTTACCACTGACACCCACCCGCCCCCAAAACTTTTCTGCTTTTCGGTCGAAATATTTTCAGTATATGCATTGCTATGCTAATGGGCTACATTATATATATATATATATATATATATATATATATAAGATTTAGATTTTTTTGTTTGATGTTGAGACATATACATAAATGTTAATTTGCAGCCAGTTGTTGAAGTAATATAATTCTATATATATATATATATTATATATATATATATATATATATATATATATATATATATATATATATATAGAATTATATTACTTCAACAACTGGCTGCAAATTAACATTTATGTATATGTCTCAACATCAAACAAAAAAATCTAAATCTTATATATATATATATATATATATATATATATATATATATATATAATGTAGCCCATTAGCATAGCAATGCATATACTGAAAATATTTCGACCGAAAAGCAGAAAAGTTTTGGGGGCGGGTGGGTGTCAGTGGTAACACCTGTCATGTTTCATTCATATTTATTGATAGTGATATTTGTTCTGTATGACCATATGATGGAGTGTCAGTATATTTATTTGTTTTATACATAAATTAAAAATTATTAGTGTAGTGACCAGCAATCATAAAAATGACCAAAATTATGCTATTTAGTATTTATTAATAAATGATGATTTGCCGTTTTATTTGAATGATTTATAAGTCACTTTAAAATGATTCTTCTATTTGTAACTTCTTCACCGGATCATAATAAGACCATTATTCTCTTCTTCGGAATTATTTAATTGTATTTTGAGATAAGAATTGTTACTTTAACTTTTAATTATGAAATTGAATTATTTATTTTTATTTCATTATAAAAATATTTTATATATTATCATACTATGATACGTAGCGTTTGAGATGTGCGTAACATGTACATTATCTTTCAAATGTTTTTGGTATTCTCATATCGATTTCAACAATATTTTGGTCAGTGCAAAAAAAAAGTTATAGAATGTCATGCGATGCCAATTAAAGATTAGTCAAATTTTTATGATTATGACAAATAGTGAGTTTGAAAATGGGCCTACTTTTTTCATTTAGAAATTCGAAAATTATTCTATATTTGTTTATATTTTTTACTTTTTATAATAGTTTTTTTTTATTAATTCATTTGCCACAATTTAATGTAAACAGTTTATCTATTTAATGCATCGCTCTTCATAGTAGAAATGTAAAAGTATAAAATTCATATAACCAAATTAATATGCCTATCATATAAATAATACCAGAAGTAGATGCGACCGCATCTCCAGTCTTCTTCGGTCAGAGTATTTTTCATTGATATATTACTATGCTAGTTGTTTTTAGATTGCATATATATAAAATAATCTGCCAGCGTTTACCAGGTTCTTTGGATGGCCGATTTATATATATATATATACTCGTATATATATATATATATATATATATATCAATTTACTCAATAAGTCCATAGGATAACTAAAAAAAAACATTTTTTTTGTCAAATTTCTTTTTTGCTATTCAACATGGCTTTCTTCGAAGACGATATACCGATTATAGCGAACTTCGAACTTTTTGAAACCATTTTTGTAATACGATTTGCACCTTTCTTTCTTCACAGCGAACATTTTTTTGAGATCTGAGAACATGATATGGTTGCTGGGAAACAGATCTAGAGAATATAGTTTGTGACTTGGTGCGTTGTCCTGATGGAGAAGTACTGTTTTTCTTTTTCAAATGGGACCATTTTCCCAATTACGATCTTCCAATGATACAATAACGTTATTTAATAATTACTGTTGATGGTTTAGTTATTGTCGAGATTGTTGATTGGAATGATTCCTTGCAAATTCCATAAAACTGAAGCCATTACCTTGCTGATTGTTTGCATTTTTTCTCCTCATCGTGCCAAGTACATTCGGATGGTAACATATTAATGCAAAAACTCAATTTTATTTCGATTAAACAACTCCAAATACTCTTACGAATCATCAACTCGTTATGCTTTTGGTCAAATGTGAAGCGGCATCCATTTGTGTACAGGTGTTTTTCCTATTCAAATTTTGTGTACGATATGTCCAGCATGTTCTATTGATGTCTTTGGGGTGTCAGATATCTCAGCTATTTATACTTTTCGGTTTTCCAAAACGTTTCGGTAAACTTTTTTGATATTTTCCGGTGCAACCACTTCAATTGGCCTTCCAGAGCGTTCAGCATCGTCAGTGTCTGTATGGCCACGATTAAAATTCTGCAAACTACTTCTTCACCAATTGCCTTCACCAATTTGGCACAGTCCAGATAACACATATCAAGCGATACTTTAGCAGCAATGATATTTTTATCCATCAAAAAGCAATGATAAATAATCAACCCACGAAATTGCTTTGAATTCATGTTTTCGAAAAACTTGAAAGTAGTAGTAGTCACTTGAACCTTTGTAACTTGTAAACTAATTATCGAATTGTCATGAAATTTTAACATATATCTTCTTAAAGTTGTTGCTTCCTACGGGTCATATGGATGATTACATACATAGCTTCATCATTTATGTGTTATCCTACGGAGTTATCGAGTCACGTAATATATATATATATATATATATATATATATATATATATATATATATGCATATATATGTATATATAAAGGGGTAATAGTATTGACCGTAAATTGACCATTTTTCGTTTATGGTTAATTTGTGGTTAATTTTTATTACTTTTGTTTATTTAAACTTTGGAAGCGTAACCTTCATTTATAGGGCCACAGTCAGAAACACACATTTTCCTCGAGTTTTTGAGAATTAAGACTTTTTGTTCAACTATGAATTTAAAGTTTTTAAAATCGGTCGTTTTTGAGAGGTCCTTCTTTTAAAAAATGTTCTAAAGTGTGTTGGCAAGTTTCATCAAAAGTTGGCGCATTTGATCAGGATTGTAAAATGGTAAAATACTCGACAGTTTCATAATAAGAAATTTCGAGTAAAAAATAAAAACCAAAAAATGACATGATTTGATGTTTGTTATACGCGTAAGCTCCAATATACGAGAGAGATACATTTGAACTGAATATGAACGAAATGCGTTATAAGTCCATTTTTAGGTTTTTTTTTTTTATTTTAGATTTTTTTATTCTGAAGCTGTCAAGTATTTTATTATATTACTATCCTGATTGAATGCAACTTGTTAACACATTTTTTTAAAGAATGCTGCTCAAAGTCGTTCAAGCTTGAAAAATTTAAGTTTATAGTTTTAATTCTTGAACAAAAAGTTTTAATTATTGAAG